CATACTTCTTTTCCCTTTTGTACAAGAACAGAACCTTTTTCGTTACGTTGTTTTGGAAAGCACACGTAGACTACATTACGCAATGTACTAGAGAGCTAAAATAGTGAAGGCCCCTAAATCTACTGCGCATGCCTGTTTCCGTCACGCAACAAATTGATATAAGAAGCGTTACATGGCTCCCCTAAATTGTGGGAACAATTTATAAAATGTATCAATATCTAATACGTTCATTACTTAGTGTCTTTCTTTGCTTGTACACGAGCTCAATGAGCGTTATTGTCTCTTTAACGTTGTGGCTCCTTGGTGGGGATTCCCTGGTCTGCAACTCGATCCCTTGGCAGCAATAGAATAACTTTCTGAACGGGCCTTTGGAGATGGACAACAGGTTTCGTGGGTCTGCCTGAGTCATCTAGGGAATCTGTGGCAATAACAACTCTTACTTTACTGATCAGGCCGTCATCGTTGGGATACGTTTTGTCGACCAAGTTTCCAGCAGTTCCTTGGCAAACTTTCATCTTTAACGATTACGATGTCATCCACTTGTAAGTTTCTTTGCACTGGAATCCATTTTTGCCTTAGCTGCAGCGACTGCAAGAATTCCTTCCAACGATTCCGGAATTCATTGGCAAGGTACTGGACGCGGCGCCATCGTTTGCTTAGGTAAAGATCCGCCTGTTGGAAATCACCAGGAGGAGGCATGACGAATTTCGACTTCATAGTTAATAGATGGTTAGTAGTGAGCGGCTCAGGACACTGTGAGGAATTGATGGTATCTATCGTGAGTGGTCTGCAATTAACGATTGCTTCAGCCTCTACCATGAAGGTTCTCAAAGACTCGTCATCAAGCTGGGTTCCGTGGCGTTCTAGTATGGATGCTAATACGTTTCTCACTGATCTGATCTGGCGTTCCCACACTCCGCCCATGTAGCTTGCATGTGGAACGTTCACTTTGAACTCTACTCAGTCACAGTTATTTGTCAGGAGCTCCTCTCTTATCCTATCGTTGTCTATCTCGGAGATGGCTTGCTGCAGTTCGTTCATTGTGCTGATAAAATTCAACCCCTGATCGGATCGTAATTGCCGTACTGGACCACGATGACCAACAAATCGACGGTAAGCGTTTAAGAAGGAATCAGTGGTCATGGTATTCAAGACTTCAAGATGGATTGCTCTGGAAGACAGACATGTGAAGAGTACTCCGTAGCGTTTTAATTCTCTGCAACCATCTTTGACGTACCATGGACCGAAGTAATCTACTGCAGAGAACGTCAATGGAGGAGTGGGTCCAAGGCGGTCCTCTGGCAAATCTGCCATCTTCTGCTCTTGGGGAATTCCTCTTAACTTCCGGCACTTCACGCATTTTGCAATGTGGTTAGACACAGCGGATCCTCCACCAATCACCCAGTATCTGGCTGACCTTATTTTGTTATGGGTTATCCCGCGACCTTGATGCTTGAGTAACTGATGGTGATGGCAGATGATAAGCTCAATGATGTGTCCTTTCCTGGGAAGGATGATGGGATGTTTCGCACCATATGACAGGCTGGAACGTTTGATTCTTCTGCCCACTCTTAGGACGCCACTTGCGTTGAGAAATGGATCCAGTTGATGGAGAGAGCTTGCTTTTTTCATAGCCTTGTTTTCGTGTGTGACGGTTCTCTCACCACTTGTTTGCCCTCGGACGTTCAACTCCTTCAGGTGACGTATTTCTTCGGGAAAGGCTGCCCTCTGAACCATCTTGATGATCTCGTTCTCAGCATTCTGCAATTCCTCGACATTAGCAGGAATATACTTGCTTGATGTTGAGTCGTTTGGATTTCGTTTAACTTTCTCATCACTAGAGTTTGGACTTCAGAACTTCTCTTGAAGGCGAAGGCAAACTGCGACAGCCCTTTTAACACGGTGCTAACTGGAGAAGTATTCCAGGCGTTCCAGGAAAGACGATGCTTCCTGAACATGTGTTGCTAGAGTGGATACCCTTTTAACTTTGGGGTCTTCAGGGGAAATTGCAGTAGTAACGTTGGTGAGATTCCAATCTTTGGAAAGTTTTCAAAGAAGGTCTGGGCCGTCCCACCACAAATGATTGTCGATCAGTTCTTGCTCGGTCTTCAGGAGGGACAGAGTTGAGCACTTCTCTTCTGTTCAAAACGAATTTGTGCAGGCGGAAGCCTCCCTTCTGGCACAGTGACTTAGTGCTGCTGATAAGACTCTTTGCCTGCTCAACTGATGCGACCGATTTCAAACCGTCGTCGACATAGAAATCCTTCCTTACAAAATCGGCAGCTTCCTTTCCACAAACGCCTTTATAGTGATTTGCAGTAGTCTTTAACGCAAAGTTAGCGCATCCAGGAGAGGAGTTTGCGCCAAACAGGTGAACAGTCATTCGGTACTCGACTGGATCGCTGTCGAAGTTCTCGTCATCCCACCACAAGAAACAAAGGTAGTCGTGATGGATGCCGTCAACCTTTACTTGATGGAACATCGCTTGGATGTCGCACATGAGGGCTATTCTTTCATGTAATATCTACTTATCTTATAATATTCTATTCTCTCATTTTCCCTGGTTTCTTCTTATGGTATGCTCCGTGATGAGGAATGTACCAGACGTGCTTGTTTTTATCTGAGACTTCTTCCTTAGGGACTTTCTCTGCGAACCCGTTCTTAATGTTCTCTTGCATGAAATTGACATAGTCCTTTCGATATTGAGTATCACTCTTCAACCTTTGCTTCAATTTCATGAGGCGGCTTAACGCCAGTTCCTTATTGTTGGGCAGCTCAACGTTGTTGTTCTTCAAAGGGAGGGGCATCTCATAGTGGCAGTCATCTCTTTGATGAATACCTTCTGGCACTATTGTTAGAAACCTTCTGTCCTCAAAGGAAGGGGATTTCTCTTTGGTCGCACGTTCACTGAAGTCGAGTGTGAACATCTTGGACATTTGGAGTGGACTTAAAACTTCCTTAACTTGCGTTTTCAGGGCAAAGTGGCACACTTTCTTGTTTGACGTGGCTTGAATCGCTTGCCGGACTTCACAGGTGACTATACGGTTGCAGAATACATCGCCCTTGACATCTGCGGTACTGTTATCCTGACCTTGGGGTTCAATTTCGCCAATAATTTCCCCTATCCAAGGGCGGTTCTTTTCACGTAGGGATCGTCGTCATTTCCTAAGTTCACCTCGTGTGGCTTTATCGCTCGGGGACAGTAGGCCTATTTCGGCTTCGGTATCAAGAGGCATCAAATGACCGGCTATGCTTTCAAGGTGAGGCCACTTGAGGGCGGTTTCGTGTCTCGGGATTTGACTACGTCTAGCAGGAATCACATCTCTGGTGTACGTTTTTGGAAGGATAATTTCGGACGTTTCACTGACACCACAGACCGTGAGACCATTTACTCACCAAGTACGGTAGAAAGTTCTAGTTGGACATCAGGACCGTCCACGCCAATGGCGTTAAGCGTTGACTCCTTTACGAAACACGCTTCTGACTGCTCGTCTAGTAGAGCATACACTTTGATCTTGCTTTCAGGGTTCTCTTCATGGTGAAGCCAGACTGGGACGATGAGCGAATGGGAGGTACCATGATCAAAGCCCTTCATATGACAAACCTCGACGCAGTGGGAAATAGATGTATCTTGAGTTTGACCGTTGGAGACTGTAGTGTCTTGGTTAGGAGTTTCTGGTTTCTGCGGTGGCTTCCAGGTTTCGTCATGCAGACATGTAGGGTGGGGTCCGTTTCAGGTCTTGCAGGCCTTCTTTCCATGGCAATCTTTGTTTACATGACCCCATTTGAGGCAACCCCAGCACAGGCGTTTAGTTTGTGTGAAGCTTCTTCTTTCGGATAAAGGCAAACGTAGAAACTTGTCGCAGGCGTCCATATCGTGGGTGGCCTTGCAGTAGAGGCATATTTGTTTTGCCTTGTTCTCCTCTTTGCCTTTCACGTTTCCTTCTTTGACTTCACTTCCGCCTGTTGTGAAGCTATTTACCCCACTGTCTTTGTTTTTCGATAACTTGCCACTTGATCTCCACTTGTCCCCAGTTCCTCTCAAGTCTTCCTCCTTGGTCGACTGCAAAGAGGTAATAGGATTGCATGCAATCCTTGCTTCCGTCTTCAGAAATCGGCAGAACTCTTCAAATGGCAGATACTTGGCTTCTCTTGCGAGAAAAAGAGTTTAACTGCTTTACAAAATTATTTGTTGTTAAATTGTTTAGCAATTTGTTTTCTAGTAATCACAATTTATAATTTGAAGAATAAAGTGTGTTAAATGTCATAGGTGTAGATAATGTGTGATAGTTTCCTCATTTTAGACAAACCAGGGTATGTCAAATGCATAACACCTTCAGAAAGTCAATGTTAATCCTTTTGTTTTGTGTGGTTTTGTAGTGATGATCTATATTAGTTCCTGCAGAAACAGAGAATATTTTCCTTCCAATGAAAGATTGAAATATTTCATTTTGATGTCATCAGTTAGTGCTATAACACTCTGGGAATACAACTGCTGCTTCACTGGCAATTACTTCTTCATGTGTAACAGAGTTTAGACTTGTCATGATTGGCCATGGGTTATTGTAATGAAATAACAAATAACAATTCCTGTTGGAAGTAATATTCAGTGTCTGGATATCTTCTTGATTAAGTTTCATTGGCTGTCTGCTAAACATCAAGGATCTTAGCATGACCTGAAGTGTGTTACCCCTTTTCAGTTGAAAAGCATCACAGTCCTTGATGTAGCCTTTTGCATCCTAATTACCGCCAGGGGCTTAGCTGTATATTTCTTGAATGCACCCTTACTTGGTTTACTCCATGCTTGGAATTTGGATTTACAACTCTTGTTTCTTTCTTCCCTGATCTCTGAAGTAATGTAGTAAAGAAGGGCACTCATGTGTTTGCAAATCTCCCCAAGCTTGCAAAATGCAGCTAAGCCTGTGGTCTTAAGAGTGTTCAGGGTGACAATTGACAGAAATGGTTTATAAAAGTAGCTAATCATTTGTTCAAAACATTGTCAGCTGTAACCAAAATTTATTAGAGCCAAAATGTTACTCACTATAAAAGAGGTTAACTATCACAATCAATTTGCACACAATGGCAGTACAGATGAAATGCCCTCACCCAGCTACACAAAAACACTTGTTGGTGACAATACCTCCATTGCCTTTCTTTAGGCATACCCACGGTTGGTAAGACACATTGTTGGTTCTTTCCTGGGGTATGCAGTAGCCATGTGTGAAGTAGTACTTGACATTTGGGCTGATGTTGTGTAACGAGTTTTCCAACAAATGCTGAGGTTCAAATAGACTGCTCCCTTTGGCTTATGAACCGTCAAGTACTGCTTCCTGTTTGCCAGCCTACTTTTACTTTCCTTGGATACAGCAGTAGGAAAAGTCCATTCTCTGACATTGACCTTCATTATCTCTGCTTTTTTTTGGTTGTATTTTTTTTTCTGTAGTTTCACATTCGTCAATGCTGAATTTTGCAGCACTGAGAACCTTCTATGACAAGGCACCGTTCTTCCTAGAAAGGTTTAAATCTCAATCCCTGAGGTAATGTTTAGTACTTCCATCTTTAAACTATTGAAAATACTTTAAACTGGATCACACGTTTCTCACCATTTTCTTGACCTCTTCTTTACTTCAAATTTCTCCACTTCAAATTTCTCCACTTGATGCCATTGTAAAAACACTCAATGCCCCAGTGAAGGACTGGGAACAACTTGGTCAAAATCATAAGGCATTGAATGGCAGTATTAGTAAAATGGTGTATTCGTTGGGTGCAGTGGTGGCCTGTCAGAACAACAGAAACAGTGAAGGGAAGTTTATCAAAAATTATCCTTTTTAGGGAAGTGGTGAGTTGGTGCAACTATTTGCATCTTCAGTATCTGAATGAGTCATTTAAAATGCCATCTTTCTTTCTTTGCATTGCATCCTCCCAAAAGTGAACTCCTAAATAGCTGGAGAGTTACTGGGTTGATACAAGATTATTTTGACTGGGAAGATGGTATTAAAAAAGAAAAATGCGAGTTTTTTAAACAACTTCTGTTGAAAGGTTTCCCTCAAAAACTAACAGAACTCCTAAGGAATGATTTTTGATTAGTAGATAGTGATCAAAATGAAACATTCTGATGGATGTGATCTTTTAGCTGGGTTGAGTGAATTTTTAAGGAAATTAAATCTTTGATTAACCACATTGGTTTATGTCAGTGGCATTCTTATCAACCTTCCATAGAATCTCTCCCAAAGAAGCTTGGAAAAATTTATTGAACACAGATTAAGAGAAAAAATAGGTTTCATTGCTCTTTCTTTTGATAAAGCAGGTTGTAAGATGGCAGCAAATTCTGACGTGGACCTGCTATATAACAGTGAACGGTATAAAATGTAATAGTGTAGTTTGATCATATGAGTGAATGTAGTCTTGAGAAGGACTGTTGTCGCTAATGGTGACTGATGTTTCGACAACCTGAGTGGAAGTCATCATCACAATCAAGTGAAAGGTTATTGTCAGTCAAATGTACTTAGTCCGGTGCGTGAAAACTGATTGGTCAATTTTGCTGTGATGTTATTGACTGGAAGACTCAAGTAGCATAGATCAGTCGTGATGTGGTTGGTTTGGATCCGTTAGTGAAGTTAGGTCGTTCTGTTCATTTTTGATGTTAATGTCATGAATGAGTCATTTGTATGGTGCCAGAAACGTTTCTTTGCTCAAAATTTGCATCTTTCTTTAATCATTTATTTGATCGCGTGTCAAGCAAGTTGTCATTTCGCTGCCGTTGAAGCAGATGCGAAGAATGTTACAGGAAGCGTTGCAGCGCGGAATAATCGAATTAGTTCTGCGTACAGTGATGTATATGATCAGGTATTTTCAGAGTGTTAAGTGTGTATATTGTTAAATAAAATCACTTCTGTCAGGAAATTAGTGCTCACGAATCGCTGTAGAGGAAGGCTGAATTCCCACACGGAACTACGTGTCTGGGTGTGGATTTCCTTAGCTGATAAATGTACCGATTTTTTTAACCTTAAGTAACGCAAGTGGGAAATTCTGCGAAACTCAGAACAACCTTCAAAAAGAGTTAAACTTAAGAATGGCAGATCACAAAAGTAAAGCTGATTTCAACACAATGAGTGTGGCAGAGCTCATGAAATATCTGTAAGAAGGAAGGATTTCAGGGAGCGGATACTTGAAAACCTTGTTGGTGGAAATCACCTCCGCAGTCGAAAAAAATGGTTCTGCGAGTGGATCCAAATTTCGAAAAGGCGACACCACTGCTTTAGACGAATTAATAATTCATGATATGCTTATACCCGATCCATTTTTCTAGAAGGCTGTTAAAAATTTTAACCCGTTGCAGCCGTTTGGATTGTATGACATTTTTAATTATTTTATTTGCTCTCCTGAACTCATTGCTGGCCCTACGCTAAGATTTAAAAGGGCTTTGGCTACTGCGTATTCCTCTGTTGATTTACCAGTTTGACGATCAAGTGTTTGAAGGGTTTTGGCCAAGACAAACTT